ACCTCTGGCCTTTGTAACTTTTCTGGTAGGGATTCATTGGATAGTCTCCTAACTCCAGGAGACACATGGACCTTGCTCTGTGGTTTCTCAATATCAACCTCTTGCACAAAATCATTTCTCTTTTGCCTACCACTGCTCCACAATGCTAGGCCACAGGCAGCCACTACCAAAGTGAGGATGATCACTTTCCTTTTGTAAATTCTGCACCTCATGTTACAGGTGATTGGCAGCAATAAGAGCGAGGGTGGGTGGCAACACACTCAAGGCCTGCCTGCGATATAATGATCAAAGCCCACAAATGAGCATTAAAAAAAACATGCTCTGGTGCTAACTCATCCTCCCATTTAATGGGCACGAGGGCAGCAGCTCCAAGTTGCCGATTACATATACCATGTTTCTCTCGAAGTCTGGTAAACATTGACCGATTACTTCCTGGGGACAGGCTCCATGAAACATCTATGGAACACAGGAAAGATGCCCCTGTAGCTATGACCCTGCAATAAAACACACATTTTTAACTATAGGATGAAATAAAATATCTTAATACTTAACAAAGAGAAAATGCCAAGTCATTTATGGGCACAATACACATGATTAGGTACATGATTAGGGCCACAATAAATGTAGCACACCACAAGCAATAACCTGAGATTAAAATACATTGCACAGAAGCCAGAAATCTCCCTTTTCTTACACACAACTTCCACTGACCTGATTAGACCCCACATGTTGCCCCGACTAATATGGTTTACACACCATCCCAATGACACTGTAAAACAACCCATCTCACTGACCGGGTACAAACAGCCCTCTGCCCAGTTCCACTTACACGGTTAGACCGCTTATAAATGGTTAAAACACCACTGACATATTTAGACAATGTGCTACTGACCAGGATAATCCACATGCACACACCTTCCCACTATCATGATTATACCCCATCATACACCAAACCTGTGACACAGTAAGACCCCTCACACACACCATACCGCTGACACCGCAAGACCGCTCACACACACCATACCACTGACACAGTAACCCACCGACACACACACACCATACCACTGACACAGTAACCCACACACACACACCATACCACTGACACAGTAAGCCCACACACACACCCCATACCACTGACACAGTAAGCCCCTGCCCACACACACAAACCATACCACTGACACAGTAAGCCCCCCCACACACAAACCATACCACTGACACAGTAAGCTCCCCCCACACACACACCCCCATACCACTGACACAGCAAGTCCCCCACACACACACCCCATACCACTGACACAGCAAGTCCCCCACACACACACATACCACCACAAGGACACAGCAAGCCCACACAAACACACCATACCACCGACAGAGTAAGCCCACACACACACACACCATACCACTGGGACAGGAGTAAGCCCACACACACACACACCATACCACTGACAGAGTAAGCCCACACACACACACACACCATACCACTGGACACAGTAAGCCCACACACACACACACACACCATACCACTGGACACAGTAAGCCCACCCACACACACACATACCACTGACAGAGTAGCTCCACACACACACACACACACCATACCACTGGAACAGTAAGCCCCCACACACACACACACACACTACCACTTGCACAGTAAGCCCCCCCACACACACAAACCATACCACTGACACAGTAAGCCACACACACACACACACACCACTGACACACAGTAAGCCCACACACACACCATACCACTGGACACAGTAAGCCCCCCACACACACCATACAACTGACACAGTAAGCCCCCCCCACACACACCATACCACTGACACAGTAAGACCACACACACACATACCATACCACTGACACAGTAAGCCCACCCACACACCATACCACTGACAGAGTAAGCCCACACACACACACACCATACCACTGACACAGTAAGACCACACACACACACCATACCACTGGCACAGTAAGCCCCCCACACACACACACACCATACCACTTGCACAGCAAGCCCCCACACACACATACCCACTGACACAGTAAGCCCCACCCACACACACACAAACCATATACCACTGACACAGTAAGCCCCTACCACACACACTATACCACCATACAGCAAGCCCCTACACACACACACCACTGACACAGTAAGACCACACACACACACCATACGACTGACACAGTAAGCCCACACACACCATACCACTGACACAGTAAGCCCCCCACACACACACACACCATACCACTGACACAGTAAGCCCCCCACACACACCATACCACTGACACAGTAAGACCACACACACACCATACCACTGACACAGTAAGTCCCCCCCTACACACACCATACCACTGGACACAGTAAGCCCCCACACACACACACACCATACCACTGACACAGTAAGCCTCCCATACCACTGACACAGTAAGCCCACACACACCACATACCACTGACACAGTAAGCCCACAGCACCCCCACACACACCATACCACTCACACAGTAAGCCCACACACACACACACCATACCACTGACACAGTAAGCCCACACACACACACACCATACCACTGACACAGTAAGCCCACACACACACCATACCACTGGCACAGTAAGCCCCCCCCCACACACACACACCATACCACTTGCACAGTGTAAGCCCACACACACACACCTCATACCACTGACACAGTAAGCCCACACACACACACACACACACCATACCACTGGTACAGTAAGCCCCCACACACACACACACACCATACCACTTGCACAGTAAGCCCCCCCACACACACATACCACTGACACAGTAAGCCCCCACCCACACACACAAACCATACCACTGACACAGTAAGCCCCCACACACACACCATACCACTGACACAGCAAGCCCCCACACACACACCACTGACACAGTAAGACCACACACACA